TTAGTTCAGGTATGGCTGAACATAAAATAGAAATAATCTTGTTCAGGGTTAGGCTAGGGAACAATGATTTATCAACTTTGCAAAATCTCTACTTTGTTCTTTATTTAAATCACAGTAATATAATTCCAGATGCTTTAAAGTGTTTGATGACATTTGAAGCCCTTAACAAATATTCAAAAATTCATTTCCCATGCTTTGATTCCGTGATTGGTTGATTGTTTCTACTGTGAAACAATGTTTCAGCAACTTTCCCAACTCTGTACTTTGTACTTCATTAAAATCACAGCCACATAATTTCAGATGTTTCAAAGAGTTATATTAACATTCACTTGACATCTGTCAACATTGTAATAAATTTCATTTTAAAATTTAAGGTAAAGCCCTCAAAGCAACTCAACTTGTAGTTTTTTCAATTTTACTAGACCTACTTTTATAAATAATACAATTTTTAACTCCATTATCGCTCATGTGTATTCTAAATATCACTTGATGCCATATCGATTTATTTATAGAAGATTTTGTAAAAAAAGGTTTTTCAAAAGTGTTGGGAGAAAACGGACCAGTTAGCTAAACTTTGGTTAAGACTATCGGCTTTTCTAGAATTAGGAATATTGGAACTTGAATATTTTTCAGTTTAGATAAGGCTGAACTGAGGCTTGGGAAGCGCAAAGCGGAAAGAATCTTGTTAACTATTGGTTAAGGATAAAGGTTATCCACTAAAACATGGACCATTTTCTCAAGTGTAAAAGACAGGAGTGTGCCTAAAGTATGGAAAGAGTCTTCACTATAAAAATTACTATATTTCTCTCCATTGCTTAGTTATACATGACTGATTATCTGTCACGTGACACATACCTTTCAATATGACTACAGACCAATTCCAATTCGAACTTGAAAAATTAGAATGTGAAATTTGTTTAGATCGCTGGTTGGATGATCCAAAAATACTGTCTTGTCAACATACATTTTGTATAAAATGCTTTAGTAAATTACCAATTAAAAATTTTCAACTTATTTGTCCAAAATGTGGAGCAAATTGTCCTATACCTAAAGAAAATTGGATAGACAAACCAGTAGTTAATGATTCTGTTAAGAAAAATGGATTATCTTATATATGTTATGGATTCTATCAATCTATTAACACTTTAAAAGATGTTACATTTATTAATTGCCATTTAAATGAAGAAAACTGTTATCAGATTGGAAATATGTTGAAATATTGCTCAATATTAGAAAAAATTCATATTGGATGGAATAGAAATATGGGAAATGGAATAATTTATATTTGTAAAGGTCTTTTTTCATCATCAAATACTTTGAAAGATTTAAATTTTTATGGTTGTAGTTTAGATGTTGAAGGATGCAAGGAAATTGGAAATCTTTTAGAAAATTGCTCTAAAATAGAACAAATTGATTTTGGATGGAATAAATCAATGAAAACTGGAATAGATTTTATTTGTAAAGGTCTTTTTCAATCAGCAAATTCATTGAAATATATGAATTTTATTAATTGCAATATAAATGAAGAACAATGCAAAAGTATAGGAAATCTACTTCAAAGTTGCTCCAGTTTCGAAACCATTAATCTATATGGAAATAGTATGATAAAAGAGGGTATATTTCATATTTGTGAAGGATTAATTCAATCATCAAATACTCTGAAAAACATCAGTTTTTGCAATTGTAATTTTAGTGATGAAATTTGTAAAATAATTAGAGAAATGTTAGAAACATGCTCTGAATTGGAAAAATTAGATTTAAGTTTAAATCATGAAGTGGGAAATGAATTTTCTTTTGTATTTTTCAACAATTTTTTAATTTAAATATTTAGATAAAATGTTGAATATTGGGTTTGATTATACAATTTCTTTTGTGAGTTTTTGAAAACAGATATTGCCATGGAATATATTATCAAAAGGAAAGTAGGCAGCCATTTTGAATGGGGTCGACAGAAAACGTCCACAAATGAGAAATTTTAAGACTAGATTTTAGATTGGGAAATGATTAGGAAGAAGAACACAGCAACTGATTTGTACTTAGGAGGATCTCCTCTAAGGGTTAAAGCTGATGGAAAAGGTTAGGTACAGCCAAGGGCTGGGTTGGGGTTAGGGTAAAAGCACTGATTTGTGAACCTTTTCTGTCGCATCCATTCTGAATATGTCAGTATATCTGATATTTGACTACTATTTGCATTTCTTTTTAAGGTCAGAAGTTGTATTTTCAACCTATTTCTGTTAATTAACTGACAAAACTGATTGCATAATCAGCTATTTCTAGAGAATAAAATAGATGGTGTATATTTGGTCTATAATTTTCACATTCTCAATTTACAATGGCTGAAGAGAAACAGTTGGATATTCTTTTTGATGGTTAAAGTATCAGAAGATATGCATTAGCATCATGTAAAAAACAATTTACTAATATCTTGAAAAGTCGATACGTTTATAATATGCTGATAACAGGAATATGAGAAGTAGTTAACATAGATAAGTTTTCAAATATTACAGCAACGCTTTTAAAGATTTTCAATAAGTTTACAAGTATTTTCAACCAAATCACACCAAATTTCCTGTAGGCCGTCATCTCCCATATTTCTATTTTGTCTTAGATCAACAATTTCAGTATTGGAGTAGGTTAATAATAGATTTTTAATAAAGAAACATTGATGATTATCGAAATGGCAAGAGTTGAAATGAATACTTTTTAAACTGTTTACAAACGATTCAACACCTTCGCAAATGTATAATATCCATTATCCATGTTGAAATTATCACCAAAGTTTAAACTTTCAATTTTAGAACATTGCAGGGCAATTGTTTATTATTTCAGCTATGATTACAACAATGGTTCAGATAATGATGATGACAATGATAAAAGACTACTTGATTTTGTGATATCCAACTATTTCTGTTTCTATGGATAGTATTATTATTGTAGATTGTTGTCATTATCAGAAGGGAGCGATAATTGGCAAAAAACGGGGTTTAACTATATTAAAAGAAATATAAAAGATTTGGCAGTGTCTTTAGTCAATAAACCAAATGGTTACCTGCAAAGTAGGTTGAGTAATGATCAAATATGATAATAGTCTATGGCGATATTTAATGATTATTTACTGCTGGAAGCTATACTGCAAATGGTAATTCGTATTTTATGCAAAAGATCTTCAACTAAAAAACTAGACAATCTTTAAAAGTATGCTATAAAGTGAAGGGATAAGCTGGACATTCTGTTTCTATTCTTCAAGATATTGTAACAAATACAACAACTACTGGAATATTTCTCAACAATTTCTGCATCCATACTATAAACATTGAACAGAAAAGGAAGTATTATTCATTTTTTAGTAATAAAAACTGGAGTTATGTATGGAAGAATGGATTAGGATTTAATGAAGAATTCTTGACGATAAGAGTAAAGGATGATGAATTATTTGTTCATACTTTTCTTGATAATCAACAATTGCGAATGGTTGTGAAAAAATGATTCAATGCAAACACTTGATGAATCAAGGCCATATCATTTAAATGATTAGGCAGTCAGTATAAAAGATATAGTGGAATAATTGGTGATATTGGAAAACAAGAATTCCTGTTGCTAAACCAGTTGGAAAATGTTTTAAAAATTCATTTACAAATTGATAATCATATAATTATTGAACAAATAGGAGAAATCTTCAATAAATCATGTCTCTTGGTCTCTTTCAAAGATCTAACAGTCCCGAAATCTCTTCACTATAATGTGCACAAGGAGAAATTGAAGAGTATATCATTTCTTCCCAAAGAAGGGAGGCCATTTATATTAGATGATACTAATCAGAATACAGTTGTTTCTACTGGTAATCACTGAATAAAATGGACTAGAAAATCATTATCATAGTCAAAGAATAATAGTTCAAAGAGTTTCATTACAAATGACATCAAAATATTACTCTACATAACATGCATTAATCAGATATACTTTCTCCTAATACACAGTACTAGGAAGTTCAAAAATGCATCAAATGCATATCTACCATTCCAAAAAACTCCTAGAATAATAAAATTGCCGCCTAATCCTTACCTTTTTTTACAGTTGGCTGACAAAAAATGTCACAGTAGTTGGTTAAGGTTTAATATAAGACATATGGGACATTTCTAGGGTTTGGGAAAATTTCAAAGCAGTTTCAGCAAAATCAATTAAATATTTTTTGGCAAAACGATTCAAAATGTATAGAAAATATAGTCAGGTGAGTAATCATCAAGGTTGAGCTGATTATCTACAGATGTGCATATACTCTGAGCCAACTTTAAAAAACTCCCAAAAGCATTACGCATCAACTTGAGGGGCTGTTGAAAATGCCCATTTTAGAGTTGATTTGGAGTGAGCTATTGGGTTGGGAATGGGTTAGGTAAAATATTTAACCAATTGATTTCTAATCCAGTGGGTCCAAACTAAGGTTTAGGAACAATCAAGCACTTAAAACATGGGTCCAGGGCTGATATGAATTAGGGTAAAAACCTTAAACTCTAATCTTCAACCCTAATCCTAAACAAAACTTAAATTTTTGGAGTGATGTTTTTGTGTTACTGTATTTCATTAAAACTAATGCATAAACACAAAACATAAACATATATATATATATATATTAGTATATAAGAACTTTGTTATACGCATTCAGCTTATTAATACCTAATAGAGTAGTTGTTGAAAGGCATCTCTTGCCAACAATGCTCTTTCTCTTTCTTCTAATAATTCCGGAAAATGCTTGATTAGCCAAAATCAAAAGATGAAATGATATTTAAAGTTTGTGCCATCTGTTACTTTTTTCTCCATTTGAGAAAAAGAGCAATTTTTTAAACCCTAGGCAACAAGTAGTTTATTATTTCATTTTCACTACTAATATAGTTGTGAAAAATCATTATTGAATTGGAACACCTGTTTTATTATTCAATTTCTTTTGTCAACTTTTCAATAGAATAGTTGCTATGAAATATGTTACAAAAAGAAAGTAGGCAGCCATTTTGAATAGTTTAGTATTTCTGATATTTGAATATTATTTGTGTTTCTTCTTAATGTTTACCAGTTGTAATTTATAAGTTATTTCTGTTAATTGAGTTTTATTGCATTTCAAGAATAAAAGAAGTGGTGTGTATTTGGCCTATGATTTTTACATTTCTAATTTACTATGGATGAAAATAAACAGTTTGATATTCTTGTTAATAGTGAAAGTATGAGAAGATATGCATTTGCTTCATGTAAAGAACAATTTAAATTGAAAGCAAATCCTGAATACATGTATAATCTACTGATAACACTACTGCCAAAAGAAATTAAAACAGTTGAGTTTCTTAATCTAAAAGAGCCACCCTCACCTGAAGGAATAGAGAAATTGTGGGAATTACTTGAAAATTTAAACATCAGAAATTCTCTAATGATTTTGAAAAATGCAGATCTTAGAATGATTGCTGACAATATAGAAAAAGCATGGAGTAGATTAATAAATGAAGTTAAAGAAAAACATTCAAATGAACACAGCTTTGTTCAAGTTTTACCATTTGGTAAGAAGTATAGATTCCAAGTTAAAGATATTGTCACTCCAATAGAAGTTATAAAAATTAATAAATCAATGTTTAAACAATGTCAACTGCCAACCGAAATCACTTTTTACACTTTCCACGAAGTATTATTAACGGATTTTGGAAAAATTGTCATTCAAGGCGAACCTGGAATTGGGAAAAGTGTTCATGTGAAATATCTTTTAAATTCATGGGCTAACAATAAATGGAAGGAATTCAATGACAAACTATTCTTACTTATCTCAATAAAAGATGTTTTTATAGAGTCGAGATTAAACAACAATACAAGTTTGTACCAATTGATAAAAGAGCAAAATTTTCCAAAAGATTCTTGTATTGATGAGACTATGATCAAAGAATGGTTTAAGGAGAAGAGAAAGGATATTATTCTCTTCATTGACGGAGCTGATGAATTGAATAGCGGTGATAACAACTCTAATTCGTGGGTAACAAGTTTAAACTCAATTATAGAGGGTGTAAACTGTTCACTTCCAACGGTTGTTTGGTGCAGAAATTGGAGAGCTGAGGAGATATTATTCAGCTGCGATTTGGCATTAGAATTAATTGGCTTCAATCGGCAACAGTTGAAAGAATTTTTTCAAAAATTTGAGGACAATACTAAATGCAATAGTTTCATTGAAGAGTTGGATAAGGCTAATATTGGAATGTTGAAGAGGAATATGAAGATAAAATCTACAAAGATATTCTCTTGAAATCAATTAAATTACCTCAAATTTTCAAAATGAGTAGGTGTATTGCTAAAATTCTGGAAAATGATGAAACGAAAAACCTCAATGATGTAATTAAACTGAAAAAGGAGCAAATTAATAATCTAAGCCTAACCCTAACCTAACCCTAACCCTAACCGAAGTAACTTCCTGTACAGAGGAAGGAACATAGAATTGAATCTAGGTCTTCTTCTGTTACATTTTATGAAAGGTGACTTACCTAATTGTTATACCTGCGATTTTTGAAAGGTTACCCTCTAATTACTATAGAACGTAGGGTCGAGATACTGGTAATAGAGTCTAAGGCTGCCAGTCAGCCATCCTCACCTACCACCGTTAACTTCAAAGCTCCATAGCTCCGCAACCGCTGGGCCGATTTCGTTCAAATTTTGCACAGTTGCTCAGTTCAATTAGATCTAGCACTGTAAAATTTCATAACGATCGGAGCAAGTTGAAATTTCAACTTTCGTCAGTGGTCGACTTGCTTTACTGACCACCAAATAGGTGATTTGTAGCGAAATAAAGTGTGGGATCAAACCAGTACCTATCCTAAGGTATAGTAAGCCTCTCAGAGATCAGTCTGGTGGCAATCTAACCAGCCACTTTTCCCCTCTCACTTGATAAAGGAGGAATACCTCCGAAATATTGTGAGAATTTTTTTTAATTGGGAAATTGTTACAGTTGCCAAATACAGGTTCTCTTCACCTTTGTGGAGAATTTGTAAGTGTTTTTGTGGGAGACACAGTTACAGCTTAGGCTGGGGAATTGCTACTCAAGATAGCAACTCCTCAATAGCCACACCAACCCTTAGCCAAAACCTGGTTATAAGTGTGTGTGCACTTTTGGGATTACCAGTCTGTACTGATTGTGCTAATCCCTAACCCCAAGACCTAACCTAACCCTAAAGAAATTACTATTGAGATTTTCTGAATTAATGATGGCTAGATTAGAGATAATCAACTTGTCAATATCAGATTTTAATCATTTAGATTTTGAAGATTCAAAAATTCTTAAAATTATGATGCATATGATAAAAACTCGCCAATTAAGATATTTCAACAGTCAAAGATTCGAGTTAAAAGTTAGCATTGAGGATAATATTCAAACTATTTACATTACGGATAGATTTGAAAGTTTTGAATTGGTTATGGATATTTATGTCGAAGAAGATGATCATGATAATGAAAGAGGATTAGGGAATAGGAAACCGGGTAAGAAATTTCAACAAATTTGGCATATGATTTCTATAATGGCAGGCTTTGATTTGCTTTTGAATGAAATTATTCAATGCTATAATATAACTGCATTCAAATTGAATGATCATTCTCTATTGTCAAACCAACTGGCCAAATTGGAGATATTGTTTCAGACTTTCAACCAGACTCTTCGAGTAGTTAAATTTAATTGTAGAACAATAGATAAAGAGGTTGTAGAGACTTTAAACAACTACATGAATATTTTGAACAATTTACAATCATTTTCCATTGTTGCTTCATCGTCTGTAGATAATTGTTTGGAATTACTTATTGATAAACTACTGCAAACATGCTTTTGCAGCAATTTAAAAAATCTGGAAATTAATCTCTCATCCTACTACAATGTGGAAGTTTCCCTAAAGAGAGTACTAGAGAGATGTCAGAATTTGGAGAGGATAGACATTTCGGGTGTAAATGTCTCGTTCAAACAGCTTAAAGAATTCGAAGATGATAGAAGATTCTCTGACAAGATTGATTCTCTTCAATTGAAAACTTGTTTCTTAAGGGATGAACTGTTAGAGATACTTAGGAATTACCATGTGCGCAGGATCTGCCATCAAGACAGAGAACACCTTCATTATCGTCATTGAAGAAGAAACCTGTAAGGCGGAAGGTGGCACGAGCTTTGATGAACAAAATTTGTTTTACTACCTTAGGCCCTCTTCAAGAAAGTTTTAAACAGGGTCAACTAACTAAAAAAAACTGAGTCTATTCTAGCCAGCAGACAAACCTCCTTTCAACTAAATATCGATCTATTCCAACTGTTAGTCAACTCTACAAAAAAGCGCCGGTAGATGGCATTGGGAAATGTGCACAAAGTGACGTCGAAAAAATTGGGAAAGGAATAGCAAGGTTAAACAATGAGTATCTGCACGCATATAGAAATGGGTAATTTGGTATTTCCTGTTAAATGGCGTAAGGAGTATGGCAGATTCAAGTTAAAAGAAAATATGAAAGGAAATTGGATGAGGAACAATCCAGCACTGATTCCACCAGTTGGAGCTGGTCAGTTGGATAACCATACCAAAGCAAAATGTAAAGTTTGTACGAAAACAGATCAAGGAAAGACTGCCAAATGCATAGCTCTACATTCCGCTAACACTGCATTATTTAAGACTGGATTGGGTATATAATATGAAGATTACTGCTTCGAGATACATACCATAAATAAAATTAATTCAATTATAAATAGGTGCGATTATACTCATCCATGCCAGAATTTTGACTACACGGGAAACACTTCCATACTGTAAGCTTGTACATCCCATTGTCAAGAATATCAAAAGGTGGCTCAATTGGAGAAAGCTGTTCAACTGGAGGACGTCGACAATGTAAAAGTTAATCGCACCATTGAAGGCTGAAATAATCTCGCTCGCCCTTATATCATCATCACTAGGACAACATTTCGACGATAGTTAATGTAATAATAGCATTTGAGAATAGAATGCAATGTCAGAAGAAAGAGAAACATCAAGATAATGAAAATGAGTTCATACGAAGAGGAAAGAATGTTACTATCAACGCCCTTGTTGTTGTCTCTGTGGGCTGTTGGAACCCCGCTAACAAAAGGTTATTTACTAAAATGAGTATTCCCCAAGGTCGCAGAGGTCTCATGAGGAAATTAATGACTTGTAAAACACTGCAATACTCTAATGACATTGTTACAGTTCACACGAAAGGAAATAAGATACTATGAAACCTAAGGAAATTTGGAAACTCCAACTGGATGGATGAGACGGTAATGAATAATTTCTGTTCTAGTTTAACTTATCACCTGACAAGATTTTAATCAGAATTTAATCAGTCAAACCAAGCATACCACCATTTTCAATATTAAGGACGAGTATAAACTATGCATTTATGACTCATTTTTATTTGTTTAATTCGTGGAAACTGGTGCAAAATTGACATATACATTTGTCAGCTCTATTCTACAATATATAAGTAGTATTGAACTGGGATTGCACTGTTCTGATTGCACTGATAGAGAGAGATAAGCAGTATTGCCATAGTTTTGATTTTCTGCAATTACAAAAAATATGAAAAAAAACTTCAGTTGATAATAGCTCAAGCTTCAACTTAACTATTTTCAGCTTTTTTACTGATTTGCACTATTATTACTATTTGGAAAAGTGTCATCTTACTTATATATTCGTTTTGCAGAATACTGGAATAACCTCTCTTCACTTGTTTTTATCTATTTCTCTTAATTTCAATCTCAGTCTTTTTCAAGACTTTTGCAGGCCTCCCACAATCACCATGCTTTTTATAGGTTGGTTTGGGAGTGTATTGCACTGTTGATCTTTTTATCTTCTTGCTTCAGGAGTCTCTTCATATATTTTCCCCTCTGCTACCTTCTCTTTTACAATGCAATATATTTCCTTTGAATGCATTTCTGTAATTTCATCAACCAACTAAGGTTCAAACAGAGAGAAACCCCAAAATTAAATTCTTGAAATAGTTCAAAATGAGTCCTCAGAAGGACAAAGAACCCATAACTTTGTTCTTCTACGGATTTTGCTATGCTCCAAATGGATAGGCTTATGAGGACTCTGGACTGCTCATCATTCCATCCAGATCTTAACCAAGCAGACACGTTGAATTTCCTTACAACTACCTGGATTGCTTCTAAGTGCTTGCTTTCATTCCGACCTTTGTAGTCAGCATAAGCCTCCTCAATATCTGGCTTAGTTCTTCGTGCTACTCAATATTATTTTCATGAATTATGCCTAAGCTTTCTTGTCTTGAAAAGGTGTCACTTACATGCGCTCTTGATTTACCCATACCTCGACCTGAGGAATCTTACAGCACTCTTGTAACCATCTAGACAAGACACTCTCATGCCTTGCCCCGAAACTTTCAAACATGTCAAGTTCCCCATCAAACATAATTGAGGTGTTTGGGATCTTTCTATTTGTCAGATTGTAGTTCCTGACTTCTCATCCAGCTTCTTCTTTAGCTGTTGATCTCTTCTCAGCTGTTTGGCTTGACACATATTGGTATATAAATGTAGTCATTGAACAAATAGGGGTTCTTAGGAAACCATTATTCACTGACTATATTAATATAACCCATGAAAGTTTTTACTAATGATAATTAATAATTTTAGGTACACACGTATACACAGTGAATTATAGGATGTGAATGATGACTATCAGTTTTAAATATAGAGACGTAACGTTTAAGACATGATAACGGTTATGATCATTTGGTACGTTGCCAAATATAGGCGATGTTTTCATTTATTACATAAATATATATAATAGTATAGAGCGTACCTCGCACACAATGCTATTGTTAAGCATTCATATTAAATAGTATTGAGTTTAGTCTATGCTTTTCTAAAATTTTCTATCAAACTGAAGTACACAGGAAGATAATTTTGATAGAAAGCAAGATGAACAAAACTTATAATAAAAGTTAGGTACAACAAGGGATTTATGGACACTTTCTTATTGCAAAAGGCTTTTAAATTGGTTTATTACCTAATAGGAGCACATTGTAAATAGACTGAGAAAATTATAATTTTGGCTACACCTAACCTTTTCCTTTATCCTTAATCCTTAGATGAGACCCATCCCCTTCCCTAAGTAGAAATCAGTCACCGTCTTTCTCCTCCTTAGCATTTTTAAATCCAAAACCTAGCCTAGAAATTTCTCATTTATAGACATTTTCTGTTCACCCTGTCTAGAACTAGTATTGTACTGTGCTGATTGCAATGAAAGAGATAAGCATGTTGACCTACTTTCATGTGGTGCAGTGCATATTATATGCATGGCAAAATGTTTTCTTAAATTGCAGACAATTATTAGGATTGATTCAATTACATGTCAATATGCTACAATTATAATACACTATGTTATATACATGAAAATATGTTAAATTCATAACAACTTCCCTATGAAATACAATTTAGTACATTGACAAAAATGTGTTTTTACCACTTGCATGCAAAGTGAATGGTATATTATTCACAAAGACATTACTTTTGCACACAATTGATTTTTAAATTCATATTTTTCAATATTCCTATAAAAAATAAAAAAGATAACTGCAAGTGTACTCCTCATTATTTTTTTATTATAGTAGAACAACTGCAGGCCAACTATGGCCATTTACTTACTAACTTCATTTATATTACATTTTTTCTTTACAAAAGAACTATTTAAAAAAATTATGAATTCACGTAATCTAAATACTAATGAAAAGTTGTGTCTTAATTACTTCAAGGAAGATGTTAAAGAATTACTTAAAACTCAATCAGTCTTTGATAGCTTTACAACAAAATTGGACTACTTAAAAATATTAAATACTGATGACAAGTATAAACTACAAAAACAATATGATAGTGAGCAAAAAAGTTTGGCAATATCTTCAATCTTTGAAATTTTGTGCCAGTTGAATTTTTGTGATTTGTGGGAAGTTTTTTTTAATATTGATCATTTAAATTGTGAATGAATAGCAAAGTGTTTATCCAACAGAGAGATTGCATGGCAAAAATTGATTTTTGATACTAAAATAGAAAGACAAAAAGAATTTACAACAATTCCATTACTCCCTTTTACAAAAGCTGAAGTCAAAATATCAGATATTGTAACATCTATTGAAATATCCAAAGTACATAAAATTGATATAATTGATAAGGAATTGCAGGAAACAGAATTTGACTATACATAGACATTTGGAAATTTCCAATGATAAACCTATTAACAACATTTCAATTAACTTTTTAAAACCACAGCAAATGAGAGGAACTGCAAAATTAAAGATAAATTTGTTGGATTGTTGTCTAGAGGTAAACAACAATGATCTTTGTCAAGGTAAAAACATTTTTCAACAGAGTCTTGCTCTGTTTGACTTTGACGAGATTTTATCATTGTTTGTCCTCAAAGACAGCTTTCTACCTATTTTTAGCCAATACAGCAAAACGGAACGGCTTACTAAACTACTTTCAAAATGTTTTCATTTGGAAGAGTTTAACTTAGAAGTGAAAGAAAATAGACAAATGAATGAAGTTTTCTATTGCAAACTATTTTTTGAATCCTTACACTACTCAGTAAAAACTTTAATGGTAATTAACTTAAGGAACTGCAACTTGTCAAATGCATGCGGTAAAGAACTGGCTAATCTCTTGGAAAAGTGTCATTCCATTGAATATATAGATATCCATGGCAATAAATCAATGTGTGACGCCATTGTAAAAATCATAACGTCTCTTCAATCCTCATTCGAAAGTCTGAAGCATTTGGATATAGGTAATTGTAATTTGGGGAATCGCCATGGAGTTGTTCTTGTTGATCTCTTCAAAAAGTGTACAACTATTGAATTTGTTGATATAAGTGATAATAGTTCAATTGGCAAAGATATCGGAAAAATCTTTGTGTCCTTGACAGTGAATTCAACAGAAATACTGCAAAATTTCAACATTAGTAACTGCAATATAGCGGAAAATGATTCATTTGTTTTTATAAAAACTCTGAAACAGTTTTCTGCTTTAAAACTTTTGGATGTTAGCTCAAATGGTTTGATTGGCAGGGCTATTGGTGGGATAAAGCAATCTTTGGAGAATTCATCAGACAGTCTTAGATAT